CCCCAACAATGAACAATGGTTCCGGTGGCTTAAAATCAAGTCGTTCACAAAGCGTAGTCTTCTCTTCTGCTGCTTAGGGAATCTACTGCTTCTTACAACACATTTGGCGTCTTTTTCATAGCGCTTTGGATTTCGCTATCATCTTCTTTAACCCAAAGTGCGTTAGTGACTGTCCTTATCTTCACGATTGACCCAATTTCGCCGATATGAGACAACCAAACTCTTATCGCGCTGACCTGTGACCTGTGGTGGGGTTCTATTCTTTGTTTATTCGAGCATATTGTTGAGCCTTGTGGTTCCCTTCTCGATAACCATCGTTCTATGAACTCTTTGCAAAAAGTCCTGAATAATATTTTTTGGATAGAAAGTTCTATCAAATTTCCTTCCTCATAGTAACGTACAAATGGCTAATTCGTGCTCTGGCAGCGCCATCAAAGCGAACTACTCTAGCATCACAGTAGGTGCACTGTAGCCAGAAATGCCCTATTTTGTAATATTTTATGCGTAGAGCTTCTACTTCTTCCGACCTTTTCGAAAACTCCTTCCAGTTTTCCTATCAGACCTTTATCAAGATTTCTTTTTTCAGTGGGTATGCTGGCTCTGGCAGTTCTCGGCCTTGTTGGCCTCGTCTCGGTAAGTAATTAATTTTTGTTTTTCTTTCTTGAAATATCACTTCGTCAAAAATTTCTACATTCTCAGTATTCCCATGCTGCTGATACAGTTACCGTAACCAAGCAGGTCTACTTCGATATTACTATTGGAGGAACACCAGTGAGTTAATCTTAAACGCATAGTCAACAATTACGGTTTCTGAAAACTTAATCTTGGAAAAAAACAAGCCTTTTTCTCAGGCCGGTCGCATTGTTATTGGTCTGTTCGGCAACGTTGTGCCAAAAACCGCTGAGAACTTCCTGCAGCTTGCTACCGGAGCTAAAGGTTATGGGTACAAGGGCAGCAAGTTCCACCGTGTAATCAAGGACTTCATGATTCAAGGTAAGACGCCTCTGAAGGTAATTATCTAAGCACATCCTTCATATATTTCTTAGGAGGTGATTTCACTCGTGGTGATGGAACCGGAGGCAAATCCATCTATGGTGAACGTTTCAAGGATGAGAACTTCTCTCTCCAACACTACGGACCTGGATGGCTGTCGATGGCTAACGCTGGCCCTGACACTAACGGATCACAGTTCTTCATCTGCACTGTAGGTTATGACAAGATTGATGATTGGAAGTGTTTACGGTAGCGACGTAGCTGATATAGAAGAAATGTGTGATGGAGACTTCCCAGTCACACTATTTCTAATGTCGGTTCAAGTCTGTTACACTGCGAATCCCTCCTAAATTAACGAATTTTAATATTCGTATAACCTGATTTTCCCACCGGAAGATCTTAATTTTCATCCCACTCTTTTTGTACAGGTCAAGACCCCATGGCTTGATGGACGCCACGTCGTCTTCGGAAAGGTTCTCGAAGGAATGAGCGTCGTCCGAAAGATTGAGAGCACCAAGACCAATGTAAGTCTTCTTAACTCAGAGTCTCCTAGGTGTCTCCAAATCATGAATTTGCAGCCTGGAGATCGCCCTGCTGATGATGTTGTCATCTCCGACAGTGGTGAGCTTCCATTGGCCGC